TGAGTCGGATCAGAATCAGGCCCTCTGCTTTTGGGCCCATTCCCAGCTCTTTCCACTGACTTTAAAAGAAGCTAAATTAGACCACAGAAGCCAGAGCCTCATCTTTGGATAAAGCAACGCTGATTTACATCAATTGAACGGAGCCGTCCTTTCCTGTACACTGGATATGCAGCTGCGGAGGGCACCCAAACATTTGGGGCACCGCTGGCTCTTAATGTCCAACCACCCACCTCTTTCTATCCCTGTTCTGTGGCTCTGCTTCCTCCAGAGGGGAGCTAGTTAATGTAAAAGTTAAAAAGCCAGCCGGACCTATTAGCAGACACTGAACCTGCAAAAGAGCCATTCAGGTGGTAATGAAGGCATTTAGCAGGCATTTGCCTACCCCAGGTCTATATTGTCAGTTTCTGAATTTGCTGTGTGAGTCGACAGGACCTGAGTTTAAAATTTGCTTTACAAATATTTCATTAGTGTGTTGCTGAAGATTATAAAATCACATCTCTAAAAAATTGTTACCCCTTCCCATTCCCGGTCTGACATTGGGCATGCATGGGGCAACAGTTTAAAAGTACCATATAGGCCCTCTGCAGCTGAGTATCTGTCCCTTGAAGCTTGGGTATAGCATTTTAAAGCAAAAAAAAAAAAAAAAAAAAAGATTGAAATTACAAATGAAAAATCAACTGTGTTACATTAGAAACATTTCACTTGCATTGGTTTTGTACTGGGAACAAAAAAAGGCTTTTCAAGATAAAGGTCTTTTCGTATTCTCCATGTCAGAGGCCCTAGGTCTGGATATGGATAAAGACGCACCATTACGCTTTCCCCACCCCATTGCCACGGCAGCTGCGTCAGACACACAGTAAAATGTTCTATATCTCCACTTATAAAATGACTCCACACTTCCAGGTCCCTTTATACGCTCTCATCACATGTCTGTGATTTAATCAGAGCAGCCATGCTAGGAATTCAAGCTCAGGGCCTGGTGGTTTTGTTTCTCTTCTCCTCCAAGGGCAAAAATGCATTTGCAATCCCAAACCAACACAAATGTACCCTTCTACTTTTTCAGTTATTAGTGATTCTGAAGAATGCAAAAGCTTATGAAGTATTAGGTAGAATTAAAAGCAATCCAAATTTGTTCCATATTTTAAGCCAAGATTTGACATCACTAAAAAATAAGTAAATTAAATCTAAAATCAGCAACAAATGAATTAGCTCTATATCTGCATACTGTACCACCTATTTTTGTTATTCAGTTTTTATTATATTTGTATAATTTTATCTTATCATGCTCTTTTTAATTGTTGCTTTACTTTATTTGTTGGTATTATTATCTATGTTTATTGCAAAGTATCTAGGCTACATTTAAGCCCTAAAACTGTATATAAAATATATCATTCTTTATTAATTTGCATGAATGATTGAAGATTCACTAATTTTGCAAATTAACCAGTAAATAAGCAAAACATAATAATAAAGCATGGTAGATGAATCACTACACATTCTTGGTTGATTTATTTGAAAAGAATACTATCGGTTAACATTGTGATTATTTTACTGCATATGTCATATTGTAATATAGAATCATAAGACTGGAAGGAACCTCAAAAGGTCATTAAGTCCAGTCCCTTGTCGTTATGGCAAGACCAAGCACCACCTAGAATCTAGACCATCCCTAACGTGTTTGTCTAACTTGCTCTTAAAAATCTCCAATCGCTAGGCAATTTTTTCCAGTGTTTAACCATCCTATCACTGATAATTAGGAAGTTTTTCCTAATGTCCAACTTAAACTGCCCTAGCTTCAATGTAAGCCCATTGCTTCTTGTCCTATCATCAGAGGTTAAGGTGGTGTGATGCCTTTGTGCTGTGATATGAGACCTGTGCAGTGGTCTACTGTGAAAGTTTTGCTGATAAGTAGTGAAACCACCATGTTTTTGTGTGCACAGATTAGGGAAGTGAGAGTTAGTGAGATTTTACAGTATTTTATTATTACTGTACCTGTACCTACATGGAGAATCTGCTTATAAAATGTGATATCAAAGCAATTGTCATATGACTTCCCTTTCTTCTGTCCAGAGATCCAAAAATGAAGGTGAATACAAGTACTCAATACTTTGACATAGCAACTAGTGGAGGCAGATAACTCGGTTGGGTTTGATTGTGTTTCCTATTGCTGCCTTTGTTTCCACATCCATTAAGAAATCAACCACATGATATGGGAATAAGCAGCCCTGATCTAAATGTAAAGTAGGCAGAAAGCCCTTGAGATGTTTTTCTCCCGTCTTTGCTCTGACTGGGAACACTATTAGTGGTATTAATGTTAGGAGATGGGGAAGAACTCAGTATCCCGTCTTCAGTAAAATGGTTTTGAGTGTTTCCTTTGCAACAACAACCTCCATCACATTTAAACCTTATCTGAATACCTTCTCTTTTCCCCCTTTTCTTCTATGTCTCTGCCTCTGCTGTGTTTTTTACATGGCCTAGGGTTACTTTATGAATCATCATAACCTTTCAGTGTAGGGGTTTGACTTGCTTTATAAATTAGCTACCCAGGTCCTGCCCAAACCAGACTGGGGAGGTAGAATTGCTTCATGGTGCTTAGATAGTGACACTAATAGAGACATTCCTATTGTCAGAGTGTGTGTGTTTGTTGTGGGGAAGGGAGGCAACACCACCACACAGCTCTGCTTTATACATCAGCTCCCTGTGCCATGCTTCAGTGTGGGAATTGCATGATTAAAGTGAACCCAAAACAAGTATGTCTCCCTTCCACAGGCATCGACATAAAAACACCTCATTTCTGCAGTGATTTGAAATGGCAGCTAGGGGCCTTAGGAACTCATCTTACCCTACCCAGCGGGCTGATTCTCTCCTCAGACACCCTCCTGGTGTACTCTAGTCAGTGATTATTATTTATATTTCGTGGCCCCACACAGGATCTGGCCCCATAACGCAGCACTCTCGGGGTTCCTTACAATCTAAACAGACAAGTGAGTTATGAACAGCGTGTTCGGCAGGCTGAGGTTTGGGGGAACAGGGACAGCTGGGGCATCTGGGGGCAGACGTAACTGGGGGAGCAGCTGGG